AACTAAACGATGACTGATTGAGTGATTATTGTGTAACGCCACAATCACCAATATTCCAGCTTAACGATGACTGACTTCATGACTATTGTGTAACGCCACAATCACCAATATTCCAGCTTAACGATGACTGAGAGAGTGACTTGTGTAACGCCACAATCACCAATATTCCAGCTTAACGATGACTGAGAGAGTGACTTGTGTAACGCCACAATCACCAATATTCCAGCTAAACGATGACTGACTGCGTGATTATTGTGTAACGCCACAATCACCAATATTCCAGCTCAACGATGACTGATTGAGTGACTATTGTGTTACGCCACAATCACCAATATTCCAGCTTAACGATGACTGATTGAGTGACTATTGTGTAACGCCACAATCACCAATATTCCAGCTTAACGATGACTGACTTCATGACTATTGTGTAACGCCACAATCACCAATATTCCAGCTTAACGATGACTGATTGAGTGACTATTGTGTAACGCCACAATCACCAATATTCCAGCTAAACGATGACTGACTTCATGACTATTGTGTAACGCCACAATCACCAATATTCCAGCTTAACGATGACTGATTGAGTGACTATTGTGTAACGCCACAATCCCCAATATTCCAGCTTAACGATGACTGATTGAGTGACTATTGTGTTACGCCACAATCACCAATATTCCAGCTTAACGATGACTGACTGAGTGACTATTGTGTAACGCCACAATCACCAATATTCCAACTAAACGATGACTGATTGAGTGATTATTGTGTAACGCCACAATCACCAATATTCCAGCTTAACGATGACTGACTTCATGACTATTGTGTAACGCCACAATCACCAATATTCCAGCTTAACGATGACTGACTGAGTGACTATTGTGTAACGCCACAATCACCAATATTCCAACTTAACGATGACTGATTGAGTGACTATTGTGTAACGCCACAATCACCAATATTCCAGCTTAACGATGACTGATTGAGTGACTATTGTGTAACGCCACAATCACCAATATTCCAGCTTAACGATGACTGACTGAGTGACTATTGTGTAACGCCACAATCACCAATATTCCAGCTTAACGATGACTGACTTCATGACTATTGTGTAACGCCACAATCACCAATATTCCAGCTTAACGATGACTGATTGAGTGACTATTGTGTAACGCCACAATCACCAATATTCCAGCTTAACGATGACTGATTGAGTGACTATTGTGTAACGCCACAATCACCAATATTCCAGCTTAACGATGACTGATTGAGTGACTATTGTGTTACGCCACAATCACCAATATTCCAGCTAAACGATGACTGACTGAGTGCTTATTGTGTTACGCCACAATCACCAATATTCCAACTAAACGATGACTGACTGAGTGACTATTGTGTAACGCCACAATCACCAATATTCCAGCTAAACGATGACTGACTGAGTGCTTATTGTGTTACGCCACAATCACCAATATTCCAGCTCAACGATGACTGACTGAGTGCTTATTGTGTTACGCCACAATCACCAATATTCCAGCTAAACGATGACTGACTTCATGACTATTGTGTAACGCCACAATCACCAATATTCCAACTAAACGATGACTGATTGAGTGATTATTGTGTAACGCCACAATCACCAATATTCCAGCTCAACGATGACTGACTGAGTGCTTATTGTGTTACGCCACAATCACCAATATTCCAGCTTAACGATGACTGATTGAGTGACTATTGTGTAACGCCACAATCACCAATATTCCAGCTCAACGATGACTGATTGAGTGCTTATTGTGTAACGCCACAATCACCAATATTCCAGCTCAACGATGACTGATTGAGTGCTTATTGTGTAACGCCACAATCACCAATATTCCAGCTTAACGATGACTGATTGAGTGACTATTGTGTAACGCCACAATCACCAATATTCCAGCTCAACGATGACTGATTGAGTGCTTATTGTGTTACGCCACAATCACCAATAATCCAGCTCAACGATGACTGATTGAGTGCTTATTGTGTTACGCCACAATCACCAATATTCCAGCTCAACGATGACTGAATGAGTGACTATTGTGTAACGCCACAATCACCAATATTCCAGCTAAACGATGACTGACTTCATGACTATTGTGTAACGCCACAATCACCAATATTCCAGCTTAACGATGACTGATTGAGTGACTATTGTGTAACGCCACAATCAGCAATATTCCAGCTTAACGATGACTGACTTCATGACTATTGTGTAACGCCACAATCAGCAATATTCCAGCTTAACGATGACTGACTTCATGACTATTGTGTAACGCCACAATCACCAATATTCCAGCTTAACGATGACTGACTTCATGACTATTGTGTAACGCCACAATCACCAATATTCCAGCTAAACGATGACTGACTGAGTGACTATTGTGTAACGCCACAATCACCAATATTCCAGCTTAACGATGACTGAGAGAGTGACTTGTGTAACGCCACAATCACCAATATTCCAGCTAAACGATGACTGATTGAGTGACTATTGTGTTACGCCACAATCACCAATATTCCAGCTTAACGATGACTGAGAGAGTGACTTGTGTAACGCCACAATCACCAATATTCCAGCTAAACGATGACTGATTGAGTGACTATTGTGTTACGCCACAATCACCAATATTCCAGCTTAACGATGACTGAGAGAGTGACTATTGTGTAACGCCACAATCACCAATATTCCAGCTTAACGATGACTGATTGAGTGACTATTGTGTTACGCCACAATCACCAATATTCCAGCTTAACGATGACTGATTGAGTGACTATTGTGTTACGCCACAATCACCAATATTCCAGCTTAACGATGACTGAGAGAGTGACTTGTGTAACGCCACAATCACCAATATTCCAGCTTAACGATGACTGATTGAGTGACTATTGTGTTACGCCACAATCACCAATATTCCAGCTTAACGATGACTGATTGAGTGACTATTGTGTAACGCCACAATCACCAATATTCCAGCTTAACGATGACTGATTGAGTGACTATTGTGTAACGCCACAATCACCAATATTCCAGCTTAACGATGACTGACTTCATGACTATTGTGTAACGCCACAATCACCAATATTCCAGCTTAACGATGACTGACTTCATGACTATTGTGTAACGCCACAATCACCAATATTCCAGCTTAACGATGACTGACTTCATGACTATTGTGTAACGCCACAATCACCAATATTCCAGCTTAACGATGACTGATTGAGTGACTATTGTGTAACGCCACAATCACCAATATTCCAGCTTAACGATGACTGACTTCATGACTATTGTGTAACGCCACAATCACCAATATTCCAGCTTAACGATGACTGATTGAGTGACTATTGTGTAACGCCACAATCACCAATATTCCAACTAAACGATGACTGACTGAGTGACTATTGTGTTACGCCACAATCACCAATATTCCAGCTTAACGATGACTGACTTCATGACTATTGTGTAACGCCACAATCACCAATATTCCAGCTTAACGATGACTGATTGAGTGACTATTGTGTAACGCCACAATCACCAATATTCCAGCTAAACGATGACTGATTGAGTGACTATTGTGTTACGCCACAATCACCAATATTCCAACTAAACGATGACTGATTGAGTGACTATTGTGTAACGCCACAATCACCAATAATCCAGCTAAACGATGACTGATTGAGTGACTATTGTGTAACGCCACAATCACCAATATTCCAGCTTAACGATGACTGAGAGAGTGACTTGTGTAACGCCACAATCACCAATATTCCAGCTTAACGATGACTGACTTCATGACTATTGTGTAACGCCACAATCACCAATATTCCAGCTTAACGATGACTGATTGAGTGACTATTGTGTAACGCCACAATCACCAATATTCCAGCTTAACGATGACTGACTTCATGACTATTGTGTAACGCCACAATCACCAATATTCCAGCTTAACGATGACTGATTGAGTGACTATTGTGTAACGCCACAATCACCAATATTCCAGCTAAACGATGACTGATTGAGTGACTATTGTGTTACGCCACAATCACCAATATTCCAACTAAACGATGACTGATTGAGTGACTATTGTGTAACGCCACAATCACCAATAATCCAGCTAAACGATGACTGATTGAGTGACTATTGTGTAACGCCACAATCACCAATATTCCAGCTTAACGATGACTGAGAGAGTGACTTGTGTAACGCCACAATCACCAATATTCCAGCTTAACGATGACTGACTTCATGACTATTGTGTAACGCCACAATCACCAATATTCCAGCTTAACGATGACTGACTTCATGACTATTGTGTAACGCCACAATCACCAATATTCCAGCTTAACGATGACTGACTGAGTGCTTATTGTGTTACGCCACAATCACCAATATTCCAGCTTAACGATGACTGACTTCATGACTATTGTGTAACGCCACAATCACCAATATTCCAGCTTAACGATGACTGACTTCATGACTATTGTGTAACGCCACAATCACCAATATTCCAGCTTAACGATGACTGACTTCATGACTATTGTGTAACGCCACAATCACCAATATTCCAGCTTAACGATGACTGACTTCATGACTACTGTGTAACGCCACAATCACCAATATTCCAGCTAAACAATGACTGACTCAGTGACTATTGTATATCGCCACAATCACCAATATTCCAGCTAACTGATGACGCACCTTGATGGCGTGGATCGTTGCACATAATATCAAACATTGGTTTGTCTGGTTTTACCTTGCAATTCACAATGATTTATAAATAATCTTTATTTTACTGAAACAGCGACTTAAAGATGCTAATTCTGTTGTCAAGCAACTTAGAAAATGCTTGTGAAACATTTTGTGTGTATCACGATATACATAATTGGTCTTTCGGACTTTCCCTTTATTCTTGAACAAAATGCTTTGATAAAGATACACACACGAGACAGAATTGCGAAACTCTTTAATAAATATTCTGAATAACAAATATTGTTGTTTCGATTTATTCAAGTTAATAACCTCGATCACATGGAGACATTTTTCGTTTTGACTGCAATATCTCTTAGCCATGATTTATTTCACAGAGCTTCAATCACATTGACACCCTTGTCCAAAATGTACTGGTAACTTCTTTGACGGCGTACCTAGTGTTCCCCTCCTGTTCCCTTAGTGTTGTCCACGGCGCTATATTTATGTGATTTCTCGTCTTTTATTACGTCAAGCTCTATATCGTCATGATCGTTCCAAGGCTGTGTCTCACCGCTGGCAAGAAAGGTGAAGATGAGCGCACCTGCTACCAGAAACCCCGCACATATGTACAGCACAAGGCGCCATTCCTCTGCAGTTTTCTGAGAAAAGAGGGTCTAAACAAGTAATGATTGTAAACATTAATATTGAAGACATATGAAAATATATATCAGTAAACTGCAGATGTTAGTTGGGAGAACAAAATGTTTCTCGCCTTATGTCACACTAGTTATGCTACTTAAGTTTTCTGGGGGCACGGGTGGTCCAGTCGACAAGGCGCAGCGGTTCACTGTGCAGTGTTGCGTCCCTTGGGCACGCCAGAAACCTATGATTGTGGGTTCGAATACCGGTTCGCCCTGATTATGTTTCAAGGCTTGTCAGCACCATGCCCGTGCTCGTGGGTTTCACCGAAGTGGTAAACGTCTGAGACCTGCATCACTTCGAGCTTTCCTCCCACATGAAGCTGACCCGCCGCGATATAGCTGGAATACTGTTAAAAGCGGCGTTAAACCCAACTCACTCACTCACTCACTTAAGTTTTCTCCCCAGTGGGTTTCCGGTCAGAATAGGTTCCCAGTTAGCTATGGTGGTAACGTTCAATGACGTGGCTGACGTTGAGTCTTATCATACCCATGCGGCGTGAGAGGACGCATATGTATCAATCACTGGATTGTTTGGTCCGAGCTACATCATCTAATGGCCGCCGTCATATATCTAAAATATTACGTCGGTTAAACAACAAACAAACAAATACTTACGTTAGGCGTGAGAGCCCCAGCTACTAGAGGGGCTATCATCCCCGGTACAGTAGCAACTGTATTGGTAATTCCAAATAATACTCCAGAATAACTGAAAAAAACATTGTGAAAACTAGCTTCACTTATGGACAAAATTATAGACGAAGGATTCTGTATAATAACGTGCCTCTCAATAACGATTATGTACAGCGTCTTTTTGACATTATATTTTTAAGAAATTATACAGTCATTGATAAAGTATTTTCGCGAGTTTTTTCACACCTCTTTACTGAACATTGTGTGAGTGGCAGGTGCTACCGGTCGAGCAGGACATGCTTACCATTTTCACGAAGACCTGTTGCCATCACTGATTTCCAGTGATCCAGTCATACAACTTTTGGTAATTATTTGAGTGAATGAGTGAGTCTGGTTTTACGCCGCTTTTAGCAATATTCCAGCAATATCATGGCGGGGGACACCAGAAATGGGCTTCACACATTGCACCCATGTCGGGAATCGAACCCGGGTCTTCGGCGTGACGAGCGAACGCTTTAACTACTAGGCTACCCGACCGCCCCGATAATTATTTGACATTTACACCCTATGGAATCTTTCATGGCCGATATATCTGGAATAATCTGTCATTTACGTTTTGAATTTACATGAAACAGGTGATTTGAGATTGAGATTCATATTCTGAATCAGAAGATATGAAAAATATGAAAAACAGTAAACTCAAAGGGACCACTAATTTTACTTCGTTATAACCGAAGTTCGTAATGAGCATTTTTTTAATATCCAAAAACTGGCTCCCACAGGATAATGGCTTGGGTGCGATCAAGCGATATCTACATTGTAGATATCGCTGCAATGTAATTGCATCCAATGCTTTGCAGAACACTGTGACGTCATTGGTTACCAAGATGTCACAATCAAATGACATCACTAATGGCTCTGCTGCTGAAGCTGTTAGCAGTACCTTTTACACTTAAGACACTGCTTATTATTGTCTACAAACTGAAAAAGTTGGAAGAATGATGTTGAATGATGAAAAGAATCTCATCCTTGTGTCGTTTGATATCAAATAAATAAACACTCGTCGATAAAAGTGTAAAACTCCTCGGCAAGCCACGGAGTTTTAAACTTTTATCGACTCGTGTCGATATATTTGATATCAGAAGGCACAAGAGTGAGATTCTCCATGTATACAGCAAATGGACGGCACCCCCAAAAGTTCGTTTTATCCGTCAGTTCGTTATGCGCGTGCTCGATGTAAACGTGTTTACTGTATAGGTATATATGAAATAGGTGTTTATAGTAAATATTAAAACGTCGTTAGATAATAACCAGACCCGATTACCCGAATTTTTTGTTTTTTGTTTAGTTATTTTGTTTTTTTGATTATCCGAAATATGGGGCGTAAAAGGCAGCATGGCGGTGAAAATGATATAAATGGTTCACTGAAAATCAGTGATGACACCAGGTGTTCGCAAGAAGGATAAACATGTCCTACCATATCGGAAGGAAGCGCCACTCACAATTTGCTTAAAAAAGTAAGTGTTTGTTTGTTACCTGACCCCGTAAAGCAGTATCTGTGTACAAATACATCTATCAATAAATATACAGTAAAATACGGTTATAACGAACACGCTTATAACGAACTGACGGATATAACGAACTAAAATTAGTAGTACCTTTGAGTTCGTTATAACCGTAGTTTACTGTAACAGCCTTTTTCGGTAACGTACTTGGGGGCAATGTCGACGTGGTTAACCATGTATGCTCCCTTGACGATTCCCATACACCCCACGGCGGCACACAGGAAGACGACTGCGACCATCCTGTTCTCGCAATTTACAAAGCTTGTTGCCACAAGGAAGACAGCAACCGAGAGAAACGCTAAAATGGAAAGTCATTTTTAATGCGGTTTTGGACACATTTTCAGTTATTCCAGCAATATCATGGCGGGGGGACACCCGAAATGGGCTTCACATATCGTACCCATGTGGGGAATCGAACCCGGGTCCGGCGTGACGAGCGAACGCTTTGACCACTAGGCTACCTACCCCCCTCTGTGGTTAACTTTCAGGTTTGTATGGGCATGATTGCTTAGGACAGAGAGTTTTGTGATTTGGTAATTCGCGTTCAGCAATCGAGTTGTTGTTTTGAAAATATGTCACCAAATGAGTGAGTAATAGCGATTTTACAATTAGAATACCCGATCACTTGTTTGGTATCAACCCGTATGGCGTAGCATCCCTCTCCCATTGTGTTACATACCTAGAATATTGCAGAGTGCGGCGATAAACAACAAATGTCATATCTTTAAACAAATTATACTAGAATACCTGATTTTTCATTCATTCATAAAGTAGTACAAAAGTATATGGTCACAATTGCTATTGTCCTGCCTTGCGTATATTCTGAATGTTATGTGTTTCATACCAATCTGTTTAGCATGTACATATACCTGCGTTTTGCCAGATCTTCCTGACCTTCGTGGTACCGAGTCTGGTTCTGGCTCTCACGAAGTCAGCGAGTTGACCAGCCAGAACTGCCAACACCGAGTGACAGAGATAGGGTAGGGAGGATAGAGCCCCATTCTGTAACAACAAAACACAACACAACTCATGTAGCTCATGATATTATTAAGCATGTCTTCTTGTATTGTACATTGAATATGAATGACAGAAATGAACTATTTTTAATCATTTGTGATGTGACAGATGTCTCTACATTTGCAAGACTATGTAGTGAGGACGATGATATAATCCTGTCTGTACTACTTGGCGGTATGCCTGAGTGTGTTAGCTCTTTATCTCAAAGTCTTTGGGGTGACCTTATGGTTATTGTGTCCAGATACTGTGGGAAATGGCTGTATCTGTTACAAAACAGTTATAAGAATGCTTGATTGTCATGCACTTTGTAGTTATCATTTCTAATAATATTGTTAAATTGTACTACTGTACAGCTCTGTAATTATACATAATATTATATGTGATATGTATCTTCAATATCTGGAGGAAATAATGAATATTTATCTATCTATCTATCAATGCGTGACTGCGTATTCCATTGGGTGTGAAATAGAGGCGCTCCGCAAGGCTAACTCGACATACTCATGAAACCAGTGTCCTGGCAGAACGTTGATTACGCTGTCTCTGGTTTGCCTCGTCAAGAATAAACCACTTAAAGACCGCCGTAGGATATTACTGGTTGTGATGAATAGTATCTACATAAGAGATGATTGCATATGAACATGTATTTCACATATTGCAGTGGCGTTGCAGGGTGGTAAAAGCGTTCCACAAACACATAAGATATTCAGTTTCAATTCAGTTTGTATAAGTATATGCTGCTGATATTTAACGTGACATTGCTCAATGTTCCAAAACACATCGTTTTTTCCCGCTTACTCATTTTAGGGGTGTCTGAAAAGTTCTGAGCCAAATTACGAAGGATGTATAGTACACTCAACAGCTTGCAGGTATTATACCTCACTCTCCCTACTCTCCCTTATTAACCAAACACACAACCAGGCTGCATAATCCTGCAGGTGTCAACGTGACTAGGTATTCTCTTTTGACTAAAATGAACAAAATTGGCAATGGAGCTGTCATCAAGTATCTCAAACTGAAAAGGCGGACATGGTGTTAACTTTAGGGGTATATGCTCCTTCTGTTGTCGCTGTTAACAGGTGGGCAGAAGAGTCACAGGGGGAAAGAGTGAGTGAGTTGGGTTTTACGCCGCTTTTAACAGTATTCCAGTTTTATCGCGGCGTGGCAGCTTAATGTGGGAGGAAAGCCCGAAGTGATGCAGGTCTCAGACGTTTACCACTTCGGTGAAACCCACGAGCACGGGTATGGTGCTGACAAACCTAGAAACATAATCAGGGCGAACCAGGATTCGAACCCACAAGCATAGATTTCTGGCTTGCCCAAGGGACGCAACTCTGCACAGGGAATCACGGCGCCTCAGACGACTGGTCACCCGTGCCCCCTACAGAGGGGAAGAGGAAGCCTCGAAGATAACACCAGATCAACAGGACCTTCAACTGCCACCGCTCAGGACAATGTTGATAAAAATGCATTCAATTTGTATGATTATGCATTATCGACAATTCAACACACGCCACAGAGCCAATACAGCAGGCATCTCTCATTCATGAGGGTGTTGAGAGCATTCTGATGAATGAACTGGACAAATGGTTTTCCGTTCTCTGGGTTCCAAGGCTTCTGACTCCAGCTCAGAAGCACTCCAGATTTATCATTTCTCGCGAGAACTTACGTCATTTTGCAGAAGACCCAAACAAACAAACCTGGCGGATGTCGAACTTGAGAACTTCCTTCATGAAAGTAGGGAGGACAGTGATAAGTGTATAATTGGTCCAGTTGTTGCACATATGAGCCAGAATGATGGCCCAGAGAGGTCCAGACTTGGCCATAGCCAACCAGGGGGTAGATCGAGTCTGAAGTAGAGTGAGGACATACTTGTTACATGCAGTACATGTGAAGGCCAACGTCAGTCAATAGGATATTTAACAGAGTCGTTTATATGTATACGTTTACATATGTCCTGGCTAAAAGCGTGGTAAAATATTAACTTGATAATTTGAGATGGTGGTTATACGTATACAGTAAATTACGGTTATAACGAACACGCTTATAACGAACTAACGGATATATCGAACTAACTTTTTAGTCCCGACTATATGCTGTAGTTATGCTGTATAAATGCTTATTACGAACTACGGTTATAACGAACTAAAATTAGTAGTCCCTTTGAGTTCGTTATAACCGTAGTTTACTGTATTTACATTATTTTGCATTTATCGAATATATATTTAAGCATGGTAACAATCCCGATTGTTCAGTTGATCATTGATGTGCTATCATAGGCCCATAGGCAATCACAATACATCTTTATTTCGATCAGTCGTTACACACTAAATAGGTATTATATTGTTCACATGAGCAACGAATTTCTGAATTTGAAGCCAGTCATCTGCTGAAGCCGTTTCCACGGGAAGCAACGGGGAAAATAGTGATGACAATTACATGAATGGATCACTGGAAATGGGTGGAGACACCAGGTGTTCGCGTAAAGGGTAATGTCCCCCTCCACCGGTATCACCCGCCATTGAAAAAATATGTCATTGACTAGGGAGGTATGAAAACGCCCATATAAAGGTCAAAGGTTAGCATCGCGCATCATCTAAACAGCAGACGTGTCATTTATTTTTACTCTGAATGTCTTCCATAAATTTTCGGGGATGACTTAACCAATGATGGCACAGGAAAAGGCATCCCCGCGGGCACCAGTTATGCTCCCCTTCTTGATGATCTGTTTATTTGTGCATGTGAATGGGAACTTCTTCTCGGATTGGCAAAGTCGAAACAAAGTAATTTGGCAAAGAAAGTTTAACTTAAGTTTCAGGTATATCAATCTGATATCGTTCAATGGCCATCAAATAGACAATTCCCCGCCACTGATTGATCCCCCTGAACTAGAAATAAAGGAGATCAGTGAAACCGCTTCGTCTGTTTCATGTTTATATGTATCCATAAAGATTTAGTGAGTGAGTGAGTGAGTTGGGTTTAACGCCGCTTTTAACAGTATTCTAGTTATATCGCGGCGGGTCAGCTTAATGTGGGAGGAAAGCCCAAAGTGATGCAGGTCTTAGACGTTTACCACTTCGGTGAAACCCACGAGCACGGGTATGGTGCTGACAAACCTAGAAACATAATCGGGGCGAACCGGAATTCGAACCCACAATCATAGGTTTCTAGCGTGCCCAAGGGACGCAACTCTGCACAGCGAATCGCTGCGCCTTAGACGACTGGGCCCCCCGTGCCCCCCAGAACGTTATGACATACAGTATACCATTATGTTAGTCTTGAGGCCTATCTTCTTCTCGATGTATGCGATCTCCTCCTTAGATATGAATTTATGTTTGCGGGGATTGTCAGCTGACACCAGCATCCACAGACCAACCCACACCAAGTTCCCAGCACCTGCAGGGCAATGTTTCACTTTTAGCATCAGAGTATACATGAGATTAGATGAACCGATACCCTCTCTCTTATTCTTCTGTTCGGGCGATGGGGTAACCGCCTAAGACTCGGGTTCGATTTCCATTTCCGGTGTCCCCTGCCGTGATATTGCTGGAATATTGCTTAACGCGAAAAACCATACTCACTCATTCACTCCTCTTCTGTTGTGATGCCGATGATAATACCGATGACGAAAACGTTATCTATTACTGCTGTGAGTGAGTGAGTGAGTGAGTGAGTTGGGTTTAACGCCGCTTTTAACAGTATTCCAGTTATATCACGGCGTGTCAGCTTAATGTGGGAGGAAAGCCCGAAGTGATGCATGTCTCAGACGTTTACCACTTCGGTGAAACCCACGAGCACGGGTATGGTGCTGACAAACCTAGAAACATAATCGGGGCAAACCGGGATTCGAACCCACAGTCATAGGTTTCTGTCGTGCCCAAGGGACGCGATTCTGCACAGCGAATCGCTGCGTCTTAGACGACTGGGCCACCCGTGTCACCGAATCGCACCCGAACGGCATCTTTTATTCACAGTGTTTAACGTTGTCATAGTATTGCTGGAGAAAGAAAATCCATTATTGACAGTTAGCTCTGCAATTTTTGACGGTGTGGTTATGATGCTAATCTTAAATATGCAGCTTTCAAATTGTCATTGTCAAATATACTGAATTCAATACTACACGTAAACAGTATAAACAACAATTCTAATTATTATTGTAGTTTTCGTAAATGTAAATGTTATTTAACCATACTTTAGGCATACAAACCGAACACGTAGAATATGGAGCCCCAGCCGTTGTCAAACCCTTTGGAACAGAGGTACCCAGACAGTGCAAATGCGATGACAGTTCCCACGTGAGATCCTGCAGAGGAATGAGTGAGTGAGTGAGTTGGGTTTAACGAGGTTTTTAACAGTATTCTAGTTGTATCGCGGCGTGGCAGCTTAATGTGGGAGGAAAGCTCGAAGTGATGCGGGTCTCAGATGTTTACCACTTTGCTGAAACCAACGAGCACGGGTATGGTGCTGACAAACCTAGAAACATAATCGGGGCGAACCGGGATTCGAACCCACAATCATAGGTTTCTGGTGTGCCAAAGGGACGTAACTCTGCACAGCGAATCACACCGCCTTAGACGACTGGGCCACCCGTGCCCCCTCCTACGGAGGATGTTTAAAATGCATGTGTCTATAGTCCTTTAAGTGATTTTGTATCTGTATTTCTACCATCTGATTATGTTTTCGTCATTTGTGTCCACAAATCTCCACAATGCAGTCAGTTAATCTGTGATTCACCTTTAGAACATATCGTTTCTTAGAACTATATTTTGCGTAGAATGTTGAATACTGTAATTTTAGGCAGTTTCCGACAAACCATATCGACTACAATTTTTATTTTGTATCACCGTTTTCAAGGTGAGGTGAAATGGGGTTTAACGTCGCGTCCAAGATTATTGCACTTATATAGCGACATGCATGTACTTGTGTGGCTGCTTGTACTAGTCCGGACTGATGCCGATTTATAGTGCGAGCTCACTGAGATACCATGCCGCAGTTTAACATGAATACCCCACTCAGACACAGTATACTGACTCCGAGCCGACCAGTCCTTGTTTTAGCCCCTTTATGCCGAGCGCCAGACAGGGTAACAACAAGTACCATCTTTTAACGTCTTTTGGTATGACGCGGACGGGGATCGAACTCCGGACCTTCCGCTCCCCGGGCGGACGCTCTACCACTAGACCACGGAGGCGGTCCCGTTTTCAAGGACAGATCGCAAGTGTTACCTGCATAGCAAACCGACATGAGTTTGCTTCTCTCGAGGGGTGGTGCCCATCTCCCCCATAGTGAATGTGTAGCGGGAAAAGACACCCCCTGTGACATCCAAATTTAATACAGATAAGCATCTGATATAAAATACAATTTGATCAAATGAACCATGTAAAATTAGTACAATAAAATAGTAATTAAAAAAATCACTTGTACAGATCTTCATTTATTTAACTTTAGTTATATCAGTAAACGGATACGCATCGTGGACCCGCTGGGGACTCCGGGTTAGAATTGATGCCTTACAACCATAACGAATTTGATGGTCATGCTTGGTGATTGAGTGGGTATTTTTGTCCAAAAGGGCAGGGGGTGTTGAACATGACAGCAATCACTTGTTTATCTTTTATGGCTTGATTCGAACACACAATCATAGGTTTCTGGCGTGCCCAAGGGGCTTGCTTTCACCAGAGAGTTCTTATCATTATGAGAAGTTTGTTTTTATTTGATCATTTAACATAAGCATGTCAAATAAATGTTAGATAAAGGACGCAGAAACTCACCGCTGCAAACCCTGTGGTGAATCTCACTGCATACAAAACATACACATTCAGACGTGCACTGACAGGGGTGAGAATGGTCCCAAGTCCGTTCACAAACATCCCAAGTCCCCACACCCGGCGAGCCCCGTATCGTCCTGCTAACCACCCTCCGGGTATTTGAGTGAAAATGTAGCCATAAAAGTACATGGCGAGAACACGAGACCTGGTGGGCTTGTCCCAGTCGAACTCTCCTCCCTGGAACACAATCACTGGCAGTATATAGTATAAATATATGTGTACAGGAATCGCATGTTCAACACGGTCATTTAAAGAAACGGTATGACTCATTCTACCGTAAAATTATTTCTTCATATTTTTGTGTGTAAAGAACCAGTGAACCATTGCATAGAGAGAAGATCATAATCTTTTCATCCAAAATTGCATCATAATTCTTTGCAGAGCATTGTGACGTCATTACCATGACGTCACAATCAAATGACATCACAATTGGCTCTGCTACTAAAGGCGTTAGCAGTACTTTTTACACTAAGACACTTCTTAATTCTGTCTACAAACAAGTCTCGGAGTTTTCCATTTTTATCAACTCATGTAGATACATTTGATATCAAAAGACATTCGGGTGAGATTATCTATACAATAATTTGAAAAACTAAGTATGAATATTGTTATATGGCATTGTAATATATTGTTAAACAATGTTGCAATGGTACTACATTGTTTCTGTGGATATTCAGAAGACGTTAACAGCATTGTTTTGACCATAACTAGTTGTCAGGAATGTAGAACTATCTAATGTAAGCAGTTGTGTGGACGTTACTATATTTAGATGCTTTTTGAAGTCATGTGTAGTTAGAATATTCTGGAACAGATAGACCAGTCCAGCACTGTATAGAACCTCACAGAAGATATTTACACTATAACAGCGGTCATGAACGAGCCTCTCGTATCTCACATAACATCTCACAAGACCAGCGGTTGTGTGAAGATATTTGTGTTTTCTTCCTGGATATCGAACCCAGGCCTGTTTTGGAAGCGTGACCATTGTTGCTGGTACACGCTATTGTTATCCTTGTGTTTATTGCTGTAATCACTGTATTATTTTTTGTACTGTCATTGTAATTGTACTGCCATTGAATTTTGTACAGCCACTCTATTGTCTCTTACAACTGTAATTGCTGTGCGGTACTTATTGCTGATTTGTAAACCAAATTAATTTTATTATACAGTTGTTATGCATATTTTAACGTATGGCACAATTTCTTCCAAGTATTTTAGGACGATATGCCCTGTCATATGGGAAAAATAGGACAGTATGTAATGCATAGAGTGGAACTGTTTTATTGTACTTCTCATCATTATCAGAGTAAAAAAGACCTTTTTCCCTTTTTATTTATCTCTGAAACAAACGGTTATAGTTTGACGGTGATAAGCGTAGCCCATTAAAACAATCATGCCCTCTTGTTTTGGATTGTTCTTGTTTGCAGTAGAATTTGGCCAGATTGACACTCCTTACTTTAAACTTGATAAAAAGAGTTGATTGACAGTTTTCTTTAATACGTTTACTCATCATTTTCTTATGCAGGATTAGTGTAGACATGTATGTAAAACTATAACAGAAGGAACCAAGATATGTTGGAACTTGTGACGGACATACAAGGTACAATGAACATGCCATAATAAAACCAAAACACACATTTTCCGGATTTTAACGTTGTCAGCTGTGATACACACTACACCATGAACAAGACATTCACCAGATTGGCCCATAAGCCACTGCCGTCAAGACATAGGACTCTCAGCAAGTTGATACTTAAACATTGGTAAATTATTGTGCAATACTATGGTGGTGTGTTAAGTCAGGAACGCTTTTGCCGCTACGGCGTCCTCAACCACCAGACACCATTTCTTTACCGACACTAACCCACGGTTAACAGGTTGCCAAAATAGGTTGCCTCTTAACCCCAGTATTGGGGTGCTGGGGACGCATTCTACCCCGGGTGCCCAAGGGAACAGTTCGAATTGAACTTGGGAATCAAAACACATATTAACATGAGTAAAGTACAAACTGTAACTGGTATCTGATGCAGCTAGAAGTCGCCTTGCTTGACTACTTGACTGGTTCTCCTTGAGATACAGTTGGTACATACAACGGCGTACTACTACTACTACTACTACTACTACTACTACTACTACTACTACTACTATCGAATAATTGCGACATGGCTTGGATTCCCTCATACCTGGACAGTTGAGGCAGCCTGTTCCAAAATGCCACATGCTTCACCAACTACATTTGCCGAACTCAACGTCACGTTGAGTCCAGTGCTGTTGTCAACTGATGTGACGTTGGACGTCGACGACCGCACCATGCAGATGATGGCCACGCTGATGTTGACGCGGGTGGCGTACAGAAACACGAAACCAAAGAAGGACAAGTAGGCCAGCATCCATCGTCTGGCGAATGGGCTTACTGCAAGGAAATATAAACCAATATGAGCATTGTGGGCGGCGTTGAATCAGTCATATATCCCTACAGATATATGTCATATTAGTACCCTCATGGCAGCTTGCCTCAGTTGCTGAGCATCACCTCTACGACAGGTGGATAGAAAACCTTTTGTACCAAAACTGCGTCATCAATACTCAACGTTCTTTCGTCACCCGTGGATACATTCGGAATGAGGTCTGGCTCTGTTCAAACCACTGCCTGATTCCAACGAGGTCAATGCCAGCAGGTGCTCTGACGAACGGTCGCTGATATTATATATCACTGAAAAGGCAAGGTGTCTCGCTTGACAATATGTAAGATATAGACCATCGGCTCTTTGAACACATTGCTTCAATGTCAGAAAATGGTAATGTTCGCAAAGGCTTAATGCTGGGTAAGGCTCAATCGACTTCAGTAAGTTTTTCAAGAACTGACTAAAGCACAAAGCTGATGTCACTACATCACAAAGAAACCGCATGTATTCATGGATGATGGAGGAATGAAATAAATGCCTGTTCGTTAAATCTGGTGATACTCAAGTCGTAATTTAAATATAAACGAGAAGCGTTGTAAAATACAATAGGTTCAATTAGTTGCAGCAGCAATAAGTAAAAGGGCCTAGAATTAATGTAAATGCACTCATGAACAAATGCTAGTACTCGACAAAAAGGAAACGGAAAAGTGATTTTAGATGTACATTTATATATAATATAAATAAGCAACAGATGGTTATAGATTGTTGAAAATTGGCACACATTATTGTCATTTACCCAGGTACCATATTGCACACATAGAACAGTAGATCTTCTAAATGAAGGTCATCTGTTCTCAATATCTTGTATGGCCACCATTAGAGTCCGAAACTGACTGTTGTCCCCACAACTTACACCAAGTCTGTTCTACCAATGTAGGAGATGGCTGCCCACATCATTACACTACCACTACCAAATTTGTCCACTTCCTGCATGCAGTTTCGAGCATAAGGTTCCCTGTGATGCCAGTGCACACGACGTCTACCATCCGCACGGCAAAAAAACCCGTAACTCGTCACTGAACCAAGCTTGTCACCATCCGCAGTTGTGGCCATACTCTGTGACCTTGACATCATCGACGTCGCAGCTGACAATGCAGGTCCGTCAAAACGACACCTCGAACTGGCCGTCTAGAGCGAATACCTTCGGTTTCTCACTTTCTGGGCTGATATCCTACGCAATCCTGGTATTGCCGTAACTGAAGAGGTGGCCGTGGAGGATCTTTCATGAAAGCGACGTAGACATATGAATCCGTCCTGTGCTCTAGTAGTGATAGGGGCGGTCGGGTAGCCTAGTGGTTAAAGCGTTCGCTCGTCACGCCGAAGACCCGGGTTCGAATCCACACATGGGTACAATGTGTGAAGCCCATTTCTGGTGGCCCCCGCCGTGATATTGCTGGAATATTGCTAAAAGCGGCGTAAAACCAAACTCACTCACTCACTCTAGTAGTGATAGGTAGTCGACCGGATCTCGAAAGGTCTCGTGTTCTCCCGTGTGTCTGTTAACGGTTCCATAGTCTTGTAATGGTGCTTGTTGCTGCGTGGAAAAACCTGGCTACAGCAGACTGCTGAAGGTGATTCTTTTGCTTGCTGTCGGTCGATGGCGTTGTTGCGTTGGACTTCCGTCATTCCGTTCACTTGCTGTTAGATGTTATATCAAAGCCTAGTTTCTACCCTTGCCACATGAAGGCCACTTTTCTTGGCTCGACCCTATTGCCACCACGCGTAGATCACGAGTTGTGCCCCTTGTAATGAAAAGGCGGTATCCAATCAGATCGCTGTTCTTATCTCGTATAGCTTCACAAAGATGGCGACTACCATAGTCGACGACCAAGGCGACCAGACAACGAAAACATTCGCGATTTTATCCCTGACACAAAAAACATATTAGGCAATCGTTTAGGGGTTTTAAATGATGAAAAAGGCATATTCCAGCATTGAATCACTTTCATACGAAGGTGTACCGTCGTGGATGTTGATGTTGTAAAACGTTCTCTGATTTGGCTATCGACATTTGCGACAGTCCAATCATATTTAGCCCCGGAAAGTGGGCTTGATGTGGCAAGGGTGGAAACAAGACTTTGATAAAAAGGCAAGTGGACGCTTTCGCCATGAATGTTTCGTCCTCTGTACAACAAGACGGTATCCAGTCCAAGTGTCACAACGTCACGTGTGATAGCTTCATGTATTATATAATCAGTGCTTCCGTTTGCCACTGTTAATTGATATGCATTCGTCACCACTCGCCCCTTTCCGTAACCTGCAAGACGAATCGTCCCCCTATCGATGAATGGTATGTGCGAAAATACGACAAACCAATCAAAATGCGCGTATGATTTCAAGTTCTTCGTCAAAGAATCCCTCAAAATATTTTTTGATTTTACATATGTCTTGCATCTAAAAATATACTCAAGACACAGTTAAATGTGTTCAATCATACTGTATAATTCCGCACGTCCCAATGTGCTTTAAATTGCATCTGAAATATATATAATACATGGGGAAAAAATAAGTGAACCATTACGCAACGAGTTGACAATCTTTTTAGGTATGCCCGTTTGCGCTAAGACGGAACCTGGTCACAAAAATGGCCATGAGAGGGGCACGAGTCGCTATTTGGCTTGTCCCGGAATAACACGAGTTGGACACGAATGAATTGACATGGTTTCCACGACTTTCACGTGACTTTCGTGCGTATCCCGTTGCTCTA